ATTTGGAATCAGTCATATCACCTAAGCTCATATTATTCATAAATAATATAAATAGAAAAAAAGGATAAATAAATATGACCAGCACAGCAAAAAACTTGGTCCAAGTCAACATAAAAAAAGCCTCTAATATCATGATTTTCTTCTTGGTCATGTGAGTCATAAAAGACTAAAGCAGGGATGTTGTTTTTTTAAGGCTCTGTGGTCCTGTGGATAAGTGGTATATATCACTATATAGTTCATTCATGCCTTAAAATCAATGTGAACAAATTAAAAAAGAGAGAAAAGAAACAAATTAATCTTACAAAAAAGGGATTCTTATGCATTTTTTTTTCTTTTTGTGCAATAATTGCATCAATTCCATGTCTAGGAAACTAGGGATAGGAGAAGAAAAAGAAAAAATACTGTCAATTTTTTATTTTTTATTTTTTAAAAAAAGCTCATCAGTTTCTCCTTTTTCAGTCTTTTTATATGTAATTTTTTCAATTTATTTTATAACATAACTCGAATATTTTTTGGCTCGCTTTCACACAAAATTTTAATAATAAATATTAAATAACAAATAAGAGGGGTAAGGTGATACAAAAAGAACTCTGGTCGATTTTTTAATCAAGAGGAGCTAGTCCTTCCTTTTGGGCGCTTAGAGTTTGAGAATAGAGGCTTATGCCGCGAAATCAAATCTTAGTCGTCTTAAAAGGTTCGAATCCGTCATTGGCCTGTCTAGATGTGGAAGGTCAAGGGCTGCCAAAGTCGTTTTTTTTAAAAGAAAGTCTTTTGTAAGACTAAGATAACACTACGAGGTTGGGATTAGGCTGAAGATCAAGCTCCTCGGGTCTCCGCTGGGAATACTACTATAAAGACTGATCAGCATTAGCCTGAAGAATAAAAGCGAGAACCTGGGTCGGAGAAGGGCAATCACTCATTCTTAAAACCAGCCTTCTTACACCTCATTCTTTAGTATGTTCCATAAAGATTAATAAAGTAGAAATCTTGACATGAATTCACAAATCACAACCCATAAACTCCATCACAAAATACACAAGAACAAGAATTATGGAACACAATATACAATTCCAACACTTTGACATGGAAACATGCCACAAAATTTACATTATACAGAAAAAAGAGGGGGAAAAAAAGAGGCTGCAGAACAAAACAACACCATGGACATGGAGAAAAATGAAACCTATAAACCCCTTTCCTATTTTCTTCTACACACATTCATTTCATCATCCATACAAAGACTCAAACTTTCAAATTTCAATAGCTTCTCATCTCAAACTCCTTTTATTTTGAACCACACACATTGTTGCCACTCACTTTGAGTTCATCCAACACAAAACATTAAGAACAAGAAAACAACAAAAATCCCATCAAATTCATTCCCAAAAAAGAAAAAAACTCCATGGTACTAGCTATTCACCCGACCACCGGTCGAATCAAGCCCATCCGTCCGAACCCGCACGATCCTTCGAAACACCTCCCGAACCGAACGTTCCAAAGGGTCCAAACCTTCCTTAATTCCCTCATACACCAAGCCCACTTCCCTAACCCTCGACCGAACTTCCCTCTCTTTTTTCTCATCCAATGGGAAATTAGTGAAATCCCTCATCAACTCATTCATGAATCTCGCACATTTCTCAACATCAGAAATCTCTCTCAAAAGCCCGCACGTGTTCCTCCGCTCCCGCTTTTTGGACTCCTCCAGAATCCTCTCGTGGAGCGAGAGAATCGGGCTAGCCCACGCGAACTGCCTTGTCCCAACATAATAAAAGTGGACCTGGAGCCCGCGGTCCTGGCAGGGGATTGCGGCCACTAGGGCCCACATAACAAACAGGAGAACATAGTTCATTGTGAACACAGCCACATTGAGCCCGCCGGTTGAGGCCGTCTCGGTCGGCTTGGGCCCGACCAGATTATTCCCGATCGCCTGCAATTGCCGGGAAGCTGACCATGATCTGGACACGCTCCACGACAGGGACCGAAAATTGCTCAATGACTTAGGTTCCTTCTGCTGATGGCGCCCGAATGACCTGTTTCGGTGTGAATTTACGGTCGAGTTTGATGATTCTTTAGCGTCGATCATTGCTAAAGCTAATTCGACTAGAGCTTTTTTAGCACGACGAAATTGTCCTTCCCCAATACTCTTCTGACTATTATTATTAATATTAACATCACCATTACCATTCAAAGAGCACAAGACGATATCTAATAACTTCTGCCACTGCCGGATCTGCTCGACCCCATCTCTAATGGCATTGCACACGTCGAGGGCCTTCACGCTCCTCTCGAAAAACTCGGAAATGTGGCGGTCCATGGGGGGTTTAGTAAGGGCAGCCCTGTTGTTGAGGATAATTATCCTGAATTGTTCCTGGCAGAGGAGGTAAGTGTCTAGAAGCTTCCGGACCCAGGCGATCGAAAGGAGATCCTCCGGGTTGCCTGACGCCAGGTCGTGAAACCTCTCTGCCACCTGGCGCTGGAAGGACTCGAGCTCGGCGTGTAGGCCCGTGTGCCCGTGCGTGGGGTCCATGGAGTGGACTTGGTCCCGTCGTCGGCTGAGGATGGAGAATCCGAAGCTCGAGGGAGAGGACGATGATTCGTGATGGTGGTAATCTGTTGCTGGCATTTTCAAAAGGGGAAAATCAAAATCGCCACAAAATCAACAAA